ATTTTTCTGTGTGCAACCTCTTTCATAAAATACCAAGGGCATCCTTGAAGTGAGACAGGGGCATTTTTCTACGTGTTGTACTTCAAGGGGCATTCTTTTCCCATGTGCTACTTCGAAACATTAGGTTCCTATATTCAAACAGCTTCAATCCAGTTTATAAAAACATGTTTCAAGTGTGTTTACATATGTTTGTTTAAGTTCAGTTCATATGGAACTGAAATTACATAACTAAATAAATAAAACAGTATATATATACGTAATTTATAACGTTTCTGTGCGCCTGATCTAATTCCAGTGTAATTAGTTAACAGCGCCTCCTTGTGGATAGTTTGATATTATCTTCTTGAACTCCTCAGAGTCAGTATTGTTTTCTACTTTGTCCATTTTGTGGTGTGGTGCTGTATCATCGGTTATTACAAGATTTGTAAGTTCACATAATATATTGGTTGGTGTTTCAAGTCTCATGACTTAATAACTACATACACCAGTGTGTATTTCAGTTAGAGTTGTAAATATGCTGCTTATTTACTTACATATACACAGTATTATTATTTTGTATTTACGGCAGAGCTACCGCCACCATCCTTAATTTTGAACTACTGACCAGAACGAAGGCAGCCGATCAGCAACACCCAACCATACCTCATCCACGCATTTTGAACCCTCAGAAATCTAGAGCGCTATCACAGTGACAACTACCGCCATCTATACGCAGAAATAGTAAATTTGTAGTGTGTTATTTTATATAAGGAATAGGGTGCTTATATACAAGTGTGGATCTTGTTTTACACTCGAGACATGAGGTGTTTCACCCAAAATATTAGTGTTAAGTTATGACGGAGTATTTTAGCTACATAAAGGGCTTTTGTGTGTTTATATGGAGAACGAAGTTTCGATACTTCTATCTGGTAAGAAATAACAAATGTTTTTATTTTGTAAATTTTCCGATACTTATCACTAGTGGACTTAGTGACATTGGACAATTTGTCGCCGGAAGCCATGTTGGAATCGAGCCAACGTATTGAAAATCTTATGGAGATATTTCGTCGCCGCCAGGAGGCGCTTTCAGATCCTGGTCCGCCAGCTATGCCACCACCTACCGTTAAGCGAGCCAACTTTTTCACGCAGGTTTTAGCTCTGTGGATGTAAGCTTAGTTCATAATTTTCTAGTTAGACCATAAGATTATATAAATATAGGATATATATAATTAAAATGGTAGTTACTAACAGTGACGTATCTTTGGACTTGAGTACCCAGTGTAGTGAAAATTGAGGAGGAACTCTAGACTGTAGAGTAATCTTAGTATAATGGAATCATAACGTGACCGTCTATATATCTATCTATGTGACCGAAATAATATATTCTATGCTGCCATCTGTTGTGCTGAAATACAAAAAGATCTCAATGCCAGAAGGCTTGTGGTATGTGGCGCCATCTATTGAATGGCGCTACAAACAACAATATATTAAAAATTTCACACTTCAGGTATTCAAGATTCAGACAATTAGAAAAGTACGTATTTTTCGGTGTATAAAACGCACTTTTTTTCCCCAAATTTGATGTCAAAATCTGCTTGCGTCCTATACACCGAAAGTATGAATAATATA